CAAAACCAGCCTTGGTTCCTTGGGAAGCACCCAGGCTCACAGCAGGAGACCATCCAAGACCAGCATGTTCTGCTGGGAAGGGCAGTGCGTGGGAACACAAAGCTCCTTCCCTGTGATGGAGCGCTCACCTCCCTGTGTGTTTGTACCAGAAACCACCCAATGCTCTGAGGTGCCACTTCCTTTCCCCTTGTGACAAATCCCGAATGCAGATTCACAGATCACAAAAGTTCCAAGTGGTAATTATTTACTATAGTAATTTCTGTCCAAACAGCACCTTTTAGGCTTCCTGCCAGGCCTCGTCTACCTGCTAATTTAATTTTATGGCACGTAATTCTTTCACTATGGGAGATAAGGAATAACTATACTTTTATCAATATTAACCAATAAAACAATAACAATCACAATTATCTTCTTCATGCCTTTCAGAAATTGACAAATCCATTTTCTGTCTCCCTTCAGTCAATTCATTTAGTCATTTATGTTTAAGCTGATCTTTTCCTCTTATAGAAGTTTTTGCTTATCTTAAATTTTCCTTTTTATTCCTCCTGTCTTCTAATTTTTTGTTTCTTTTAAAATGATTGTCCTCCACAATTTTGCACCACTGGAAAACTTGTTCATCTTATTATCTCCTTTATTTATTATTTAAAAAGAGTACGTAAACAGCAACGGGCCCAGCCCACATCCCTGTGAGATTCTAGTAGAGACCTCCCTCTACTAAGCAAGTGGATTATTTATTTGTACCTTTTTCCCTACCTGACATCAGTTATTAGCTCAGTACTAATCCTTTCCTTTTTTTTGCAATGCAGCCTAATTTCTTGAAGAAATGTTAGTTAAGATTTTTCAACAAGTTTTACTGAAATACAGGAATCTCGTATCATCCAAGCTCACTGTTTCCACATATCTTTCCAAAAACTCTCACAGCTTTCTATGGTATAACGGGGTTCCCTGCAGGAACCTCTCACAATATCCACATAAGCAAACAATTTTTCTATCCTGCAGGCTTCCTGCTTCTGATGTGTTTGGAAGAGGTTTTACAATAAAGTTTTATACCATTACCAACATTTTCCTTCAAATGCTTTTGGCCTGCTTTTCACAGTTTTACGTTTAGCTTGCCAGAGGTTTTGCTATTTTCTGTTTTTCTCATCTGAACACAATTTTTTTTAGTAGTTTCTTTTAATATTATCCTTTATTCTCATGTGGAATTCTTCTAGTCTTTTAAGGGATCCTCTAGCTGGCTTTGATAGATGATAGATACTTACTCAAAAACTCTAATACAGGTCATTTCCTTCTAATTTACTTTTAACAGACTTTCTTGTTTTTACGTAGTCCTCTTTTCAACATTCACTGTTGCTACGGTAAATTTATTTGGCCTTCTAACTTCTACAAGGGTTTTGAATTTGAATGTATTATGATCAAAATTCGGAAATGGTTCTTTGATACAGAAGTTCTAAAGAAGCTCTGACGCCCTGCTTGATCTAAATCAGGAGTTCTCCAAACAAGCTCCGCTGGATTGCTCCACTTAATGGTTTATGTTGTCTAAAAAGCTTAAGTTCTGCATAAGGCCCTAGCATAATATTTATCCAGTGCAGATATAATGGATCTCTCTTTACTCCTGCCTTCACAGCCTTTCTCATTTCCCCATCCATGTCACAGGCAGCTATCCCAGCCTTTTTACTGTTAGTAACAAAGAACCAGGAGAGAGGGAGACTTGAAGCCTGAATTTTCAGGCTTCAAGGACTTAGAGCAGAGCGGTTGCTCCTTTTGATTAATTTCCTGTAGTTTATTGATTTGGAGAACCTGAAGAATTGTTAACCAGTGAGCTGTTATGTTCCTATCTCTGTGACCCCAAAGACATCTATTCCTATCCTGCACTGTCCTACTGAGCTCTTCTGTCTCAAAGTTTTAAAGTTTTCAAATCTATATGTTTCCTGACTCCTAAGTTTATTCTGTTAATGAACATCTCAGGAATCCAGCTGTACAGAGCCCTGGATAATAGTGGAAGCAAGTTAGGAATCATCTGGGGAGTAGGGCTGAATGTTTGAGTTCCTGGCTGACTTTTATGTTGTTACCTAACAGTGTCTAGATGTTTTTAAGTCTAGCAGCTTAGTCCTGAGAAAGGACACTGTTTTCAGTGACAATCCAAGCGTAACATCGCCATTCCAAAGAATATCCTTTGTCCTCATTTGATATTTTTGATATCCTTGAACCCTGACCCTATTTATAGGTTATGTATATTCACAGACTTCAATTATACAGATTTCAATGATCAGAAAAAGACCAATGGAGCTTTCTTAAATTAATGTTGATATGTAAATAGATTTATAATAGCAAGGCTAGTGAAGTGGAGCATTGACTGACAAACAGGGAGGTCTTTGTTCCTTCTGTCTCTGGCCTGTTTGATTCCAGGTGTAAAGCATTTGCTGGCAACACCTTCAGGAGTGGGCAAGACTTAGGGAACAAGACATGTTCCCCCTCCCAGATCCCTAATTCCAGCATGTCTTTGTCCATTTTCTCTAATCCTTTGCTAGCTGGTTAGGCAGTGTCCCCTCTGGCCTCTGAGAGAAGCATTTGCCAGAGATCAGCCTGCTCCTTAACAATCCCTAAGGCTACTGGATTTTCTGGAGCTTCTTCTGCCTTTCTGATTCTGTCTGATACAAAGTCTCCATTACAGGGAATACTAGATGAATTTATTTAACTGTAAATGTGCACTGAAAAGTAAAAGAAAACACCCTTCTAAAAATAAACATTGGTACAGCACAGGTCTGAAGACAATCTTCTGTGGTATGTGGAAGATTCATCAGTTTGTAAATTTAAAATTAATAGACACAGTGTCGCTGCATTTATATAAAAGGCTTTTTGTCTGGTTGTGATGATGAACTAATTAACTAAAGCAACCTCTTCAGTTTTAGGTTCTCTGAGTCTCAAGCATCAAGAAGAAAATGGAAACAACCATTGTCTAAGAGGGGTAAGGTTGGAATACAGGAATAAAAAGATGCTGCAGCCATTGGTCATGTCAGGCTGAAGTAGCCATTGGATTCAGGTGACTACACAGAGAAGTCAAAATATTATGGAAATGTACAGTGAAATAACAGCATGGAGAAAATCAAGGAAAAAGAATGAAGGTGAAATCAGTGAGTATGAAAATCGGATGAAAGACAAAAAAGCCCAATATAGTCAGATTATTCTCTTTTAATGCATGAATGTAGAGAAAGGTTCAAATGCCACCTTGGTGTAGGTTGTGAACTGCTCATTTTCCATCTGGGAGAGTCTAGAAGAGTCTGGGTATTATAGTACTAATTGCCTTTACCTGTAAAAAAAATGATACCTATTAAGACTCAGTATTTTGGGGTCAGCTATGCAACAGACTACAATTTCTCCTTTTTCCATCAGAGGTTCTGCAAATTGGTGACTGTCTTGCGCAACCCAATTTCTGGTTGAGACTAAAGAGAATGTTGGAGATGGAAAACAGTCAGTGGAATTGCTGAATGTAATTCTTTTGAGTAACTCCTTAACATTATATGGCAGACCTATCAAGTTTTCAGTCTTTGATATGTGGGGAAACCTGAAGTATTGCACCTTTTACAAGAAAACAATGCAGGGAATTCTTGTTCAAGACACTGCATTTGCAAAAGAGTTTATCCATTAAAAAAAAAAAGAATTATTTTCTTAATCGTGATTCCAATTCATTCTTTTGGACTGTCTTTAAAGAAATAGAAAATGCACATCAAAGGGGAAGATTATAGTGTATGTCTGATTCCACAGACTGAGTGGTCGCCTTGTCACTGTATTTGGCTAGAGACATAAAATGCCCCAATGTTAATAAAGAGGAAATGTGCAGAAAGATTAATAAATGTGTTAACATCAGAGAAATGAGAACCAATAATTTCCTTTCAAACTTCCTTAGATGTTATATCACTGAATACAGTGGAGAAGTCTCAAAGCTGAAAATTTTGCCTCAAGAGCAGACAGTATAATGTTGTACAGAGGGAGGTGAACAGACCTTTTCCAGACAGTGTCCCATTTCCCATTTATTTAAATCAAGTATTACTTTACCTGTTACAAGGAAAAAAAAAAACAACAAAACCTCCAAACCCTTATAAGAATTGAAGTTTGGAAAGTACCACTTTTTCAACACAGTTTTAAATTATTGGAGTGCCTATTTCAGAAGGCTTTCACACCTGAGGAAGAAGTCATTTGATCACAGTGATCCCTAACCTTACTGGGAAAATTCTGGCCAGCTTTCATACTTTTTCCCTATGGTTGGTCCTTAAGGCCTCTCTTTTGTTAAGTTAATTGCCTTTCCTTGCCCTGAAGCAGGCTAAACTTTCATGAACCTGAAAAACAGCAGTATTCCCGAATTCAGTACTTTTTATCTACTTAACCCCAGTGAAAAGTAGAAGCTGGTGGAACAGGATTCATCAAGAGTCTGGGCTTTTTTCCCCCCATCGCTTTTATTTCTCCAAGCATAGCAGAAAGGAGTGTGAGCCACTTCCAGCCGGTACACTCAGTTAATACCGAACGCCTTGCAGATTATCTCAGTTTACGTACGAAACGAGCAAGTACGTTGCTCGGCACGCTGTGTTTCCGAATCTGGCTGGGCCAAAGCCCCAAAGCAGTGCTGTTCAGGGCGCTGCAGAAGGAGCAGTGTGGCTGCAGAGGCCGGACGGGGCGTTTCTCCCTCTCCCGGTTTGTCCAGGGCACAGCGGCGCTCCCCGTCCCCGCTGCTCCCGCCGTGCCCGGGCCCGGGAAGGCCCCGCTGTGCTCCCTGCTATGAACACCGTGAGATCAGCGCTCCCTGTCCCAAGGCAGGCACAAACCAGGCCATTCCCCACCGTGCTCCGATCTCCCCGGGCACAGCCGGGCAGGTACACACCCGGACCGGGACAGACCCCGCCGGACCCGGCCGGGCGGGGGAGCGCAGCGAGGCGGGGCCGGCGGCCGCCCCGCCCCATCCTCGGGGATGCCGGGATATTTACGGGCCCGGCAGGAGCGACGGGGGGTGGAGAGCTGCTCGGGTTGTTGCCGGTGCCCACGCCGCCCGCAAGGAGCCCCGCTAGGCGCCCGCCGCCGGCGCGGCCCCGGGCCCGACGCGCCGGGGGAGCCGGAGAGGAGCGGCGGCCGGTGCCGGGCGCCCGCGGCGGGAGCAGGCGGAGCCGCGCTGCCCGGTGAGCGGGGCGGTGCTGGGGCCGGGGGGTGCGGGGACCGGGGGGTCCCGGCGGCCGCGCCCGCGCTCCCGGGGCCGCTCCCCGAGCCGCAGGGGCCGCCGGCGGGCCCGCCCCCCGCCGCCTCCCATTGGCCGGCGGGGCCCCGGAGCGCAGCGCCATTGGCCGCGGCAGCTGCCGCTCCGCCCGCGCGCGGGGAGGGGGCGGTGCGGGGCTGGCGGAGAGAAAGTTTGTGTGCGGCCGGGACGGGACGGGACGGGGTGAAGGCTGCGGCCGGCCCGGGCTGCGCTGGGGGCTGCGCTGCCAGCCGGGCACCGCTCGCCCTGTCCCGCGGCCGGAGGGCGCCGAACCGGTGTGTTTTTGTGTGTGTGTATGTGCGTGTATGCGTGTGTGTGCGTGCCGGCCGGGGGAGCGGTGCCATGAGCGCTACCGTGGCGCTCCGGACGGCGGCGGCTCCCGCGCTGCCTCCGCAGAGCGGAGCGGGCGGCCGGGGACCCTGCCCGGCCCCGCTTCCCGGTGCCTCTGCCGCGCTGGCTCGCTCGGGTGCCCGTCGCCAGCTTCCCGGGGTGTTCCTCTGCGTGTTCCCTGTTTTCCTCCAGGCTCCCGTGCCCTCCTGCCGCCTGGGGTGGGTGTATGGCACATCCTGTCCGCGGCAGCCACGGGGACAGCCCAGCCTGGGGGTTTCACCGAGTGAAAGCGGCGGCGTCGGCGGGAGCCCCGGCCCGGCAGGGCCCGCTGGGAGCCCCTAGGAAGGTGCCGGGGTGCCCGGCCCGGGTCCCGTCGGCGCGGGCAGCGCGTCCCCCGTGCCGCTCCCCACCGCCCGGTGCGGGCCGGACCCGCTCCCCGGGGCGTGCGGGGCTGGGGGAGCTGAGGCCTGGAGGGGAGGCATCCTCCGTCTGTTGGGGGTGTCCCTCCTCCTTGGCCTTACCGAGCGCCCTACCTCGGTTATTTAGTGGTGGCCCTGCATTCTGTTCTGTATCCGTGCGAGCTGTACCTGCCTGGCCTTCGGGCTCAGAGGTTCAGAAAGCTGTTTGTGTCAGCGGACCGTGCTTTGCTTTTGGTCTGCGTTTTGTGAGGAGCATCACTTCTTGAATGGTAGAACTTAGGATATTCACCTTGGTTCCGGTAAAAGGTGATGGAGGGGAGTGTGTGTGTTCATTAATCACACAAATATTTGATTATTATTAGAAAAAAAGTTTCTTAAGTTTTTTCTCTTCTTGCACCAACTCCATGGTAACTTTTTTGTCACCTCTATAGTGATATCAGTGTTTTCTCAGGTTGCAGTGGTAGCATCACTTCTTGGGAATGGTCACACAGGCACAGTAGTTTCACTGACTGCAGTGGATATGTTTCCTATATCAAGTTGTATTACAAGCTTGAGATGCAGAAATTAGGGTGAATAATATGTTAATCTATAAAATACTCACTTTGGGTTATTAGATGATAACATTGGATGAGTAGATTTGCAGATTTGATAAATCAAGACAAATGAAATTTAAAAGCATTTTACTTTCCAGGCCATTTAGCAGACAATTCAAATGTTGCGGTGCTGTAGAAATGTCTGTATTTGAAACTTGCACTGGCTTGAGAGAGAGGAAATGCAGTAGAAAAGAGCCATTAGTTCATGGGCTGTGGAAAACTTAGGCAGAGGAAGGAAAACTGCTGTTGTGGAAAGAGGGAAAGCTACAAGCCGTGTGGGACAGCTTTTAAAGTAAGAATGTGAAGCCCTGAAAGTTTGTTTGTTATTCTTTTTTGATACTGGAAGAAAGAATAATATTGAAGAGCACTCATTCTTTAGTTTCAAAACACGAAGATGCTGTGTTTATAAATATTTGATGTTTGGATAGATGACTTCCCAAAGCATACTTAGAGATTTTTCACTGTAAGGGTGGAAATATTTTCTTTGTCCTGGATATCTTGTATTCAACGCACCACTTAGTCATTGCAGTAAAAAAAAAATTTGAGATCAAATCAAGGAATTCTATCCAATGGTGTTTTTTTTGGTTGACTTATCGCAGTGTGTTCCAGGGTCTACAAGAATTAAAAACTTGTTTCAAAAGAAGAAAAAAAATTAACATTTTGGAGTTAATCTGAAGGCCCTTGAGCAAATAAGAGACTCAAATGAAAAACAGAGTGCAGGAAGTTAGTTGCTGATTTACTGTGACCTGTGCTGTCTTCTGAATTGTTAGATAGATAGCCTGTCCCTGCCTCTTTTTTTGAGTAAGAGTTGAGCTCAGTTGCACAAAATACAGCCAGTCCTGTGGATTTGTCCGCAGAGACAATTTGGAGAGGCATTTTGTTCATATCTGCAAAAACTACCCATGTTTAATAAACTCTAAGTCTCGTTCTCTGCATTTATACCAGCTCGGTGTTCAGTTGTATTGCCATCGATGCTGTGTTGCCTTCTGAAGTTTGACGTTGTTCCAAACATCTGTGCTGAGTGGTTGAGTTCACGTTACCTTGGAAAGTCCCCTAGGCTAAGTCAAGCTGCAGTAACTTCTCTACCTCCAAGGGAATTTTCTGATTATCGAAAAATCCTTCCTGATTCCCGAGGAGCAGGAATTCCAAGGGGGTGGGGATTATCTCGTGCAGGTCAATGTTCTGGGTAGTCATAGGAGTTAACTGACTAATTTCCAGAGAATTTGTTCAGTTCAGCTGCGTTCCATCTGCTTTGCAACAGGGATGAAAATAACTGACCAAAATACCAAAGTGGTGATAAGGGCAGCCTTTAGAGCACTGATTTGCTGTGTTTATCACCATTTGACCTCCCTGGCCACATGGGAAGGAACTGAGCCCTAGACTGAAGTACATCATCTTGCTATGTATTTCCTATTTTAGTAAGTATTAAAGTGATTCTTCCTGTCAGGTTAGTTAAAAAAGCTTCGGAGAAGCAATGCTATTGAAATGAGTTGCTTCTCTGGTAAAGAGCATCTTGTGCATTTGTCTCTACCATGTGAGACATAACTGTGATTCAGTTGTGATTTTTGTAGCTAGAAAATACGCAGTATATTTCAAGTGTCATTATTCCCTCTTGGGCAAACAGAACACATACTTATGTAAGGGAGTTTGTTATAAAACTTGAAACAAGACATTAAAAAGAGGAGTTGTTAAGAAAATACTATGAATAATCATGTTAAAACCTGATTGCATGTAGTTAATCTTATGATATTAGTGATTTTCTTGCTTTAGATTACAGGTGATAGAGTAAATAGACTGCTTGCATCATGGGGCTTTTGGGAGTCTGCATTCAAGCCTCCTTGCTTGGAATTATTTATAACAAAGTTATTGCTGTCTTATTTAGTAGCTGGATTGGTGTTGGACCAGACTAATTACTTCACAATGTCATAAAAGTACATGTAGAGCTTGTAGATTAGATTCTTACTGGAGTCTTTGGGGAGATTTGAGTTGGGTGCTGTTAAGTGTTGATGAGCTAGTCTTTCTCAGTTCATTTTAATTTTCTGTTGTCAGTGTACAGTGTTGACAAAATTACTGATTCCTAGAAAGCTGAAGGCAAAAATATCACAGGTGAACTTAAAGTTAATTCTAAAATAAGAATTAACTTGTGGTGGGAAAATGTATAGCGTTCTGCCCTGTAGAGGCCCTTCTTCTGTAGCCTTTTCGTGCTCATCTGAGAGCAGATCCAAAAAAGGAGTTGTCTTTGCAGCAGTGAACTTCCAGTCATTGCCCTGACTGAAACTCAGAACTGTGTGTTAGGTACGTGGGCTGTGTGTGAAGTTCATGCAGACAAGCAGGACTTCACAGGAGGAGCAGCGAGCAGCCTGCAGGCAGAGTGCTGAATACACAGCTAGTCACTGAGGATACTCCAGAACCACAAATGGATCTTGGTATTTTAGGCAGTGGTGGTTTAGTGTAAAACACAGAAACAGCTGTGAGCTGAAGTGTTGGCCTGCCTCTGAAGTGAGTGTGCTGGCTGCTACTTGCTTTGCTTCTGAACCCAGGGATCCTGGGTTACTCACTATTGTCATACATGGTTTTGGGATTCAAAGGTAATGCTGCTCAGAGGATCACAGTAAGCCTGTTAAACGTGGTTGGTGTCTCTCTTCTTTATAGTGCTTCGTTCATTTTTATCATCTTTGGGCTAGCAGATTTTAAACTATATACTGCAGGTATATTTTTTTCAGCTTGAGAATATGTGTTAGCACCTGCAGTAAGGTGTTATCTTGCACTGCTTTCTAAGGTATTTAGACACTGTGTGAAATTTGTTGTTAAATGTGTTCTTCATCACCTGTAGCAACATTGGATGTTATCAGACACAGCTGTGGCACAGTGTTATCCACCCAGCCTTCCTAACTGGATGTATTTTCCCTGTACCTAGCCATAATGGGCATCTGACAGTGCTTCCAGTCTTTTAAGTTGTCCTGCATATTTGTTAACTCTTGTGTGAAGCTCAGCTGTTTATGCTTATAGTAAATGTCTTCAGCATCTCTGTGTGAGTAATTTGTTTTTACAGGTGCATTTAAACCCATCCCTTCATTAGGGAAATTAGGGATAGATCTCTTCCTTCTCTGCTTGAGGGAGCTGTGACGTTTTGGGGTAGTAATGGTTTACAAATGATGCCTTAGCTTCCTTTTTCTGAAAAATCCTTTTTTTTTATTATTTTTTTTCCCCATTTTTTCCCTAGTTTGACTTGTTACCCTGGTTTATTCTCCTTGCATTTAATTTGCTTCCTAGTTCTACTTTTCCATATGGTGTTTAGTTGACAGAGCTCTTGGCTTGTTGTTGAATCAATTGCCTTCTCTCTGTGCTGGCTCTTGCCTTCCAGTTGCAGCTTTTTTGAGTTGAAGTGGTTGTTCACCTCCATGCTAAGGGTGAAATACAGTTAAATGTGGTGAACTAACATTGATACTGTTGCCAGAAGGGAGATGTTCTGTTTCTTTCACAGTTCCCTTCCTACATCTTCCATCCTTGAACTTGCCCTGCTTTTTCCTCTGGTGCTCAGCAGACTCCTGCATGCCCTGGTTCTGCTCATGGCTTGCAGAGCA